CCCAGCAGATTGCTGGTACCCATTGATACAGCTGGGTGGACAGAAGCAATGTAGCTAAAGTGCCTTGCCCAAGGACACAAGCGAATCTTCACAGTGGAGACTCGAAACTCTGACCTTACGATTAAAAGTCCGAACCTCAACCGCTGCGCCAAACTGCTGCTACATAAATGCTGAGTAAATATATAAACCAAAATTTCTTAAGACTAGTGAATGTTGTGAAGTACCAATGATCAAATCTTACTTAATTTAGATGCCAAAGACTTCCAGTTGGGTGGGTAGTCGTTGTTGTCGTTCATTAGTTTGTTAAATACCTGTCTTACTCCTTGATGCACTTTACCTAAGGTCAACTCATTCACGGAAGTAACTTCTTCGGGCTCTTGGTGAAATATTCTTGTACTCTCTCTGCCTGCTAAAAAAACATTTTACCAATATGGGTATAACAACGCGATACTCTACAGTATTTTTAAAGAAAACAATTTTGGGATATCCGATAGGGGCTGGGAAGGGCATATAGCTGTCTCTTATACACATCTAGATGTGTATAAGAGACAGGTATATATCAGTGAGTTCCATATCCATTAAGGATTTCAAATGCCATGATTTTCCTCCATTTCATTCTGTCTTTAAATGATCTTGCTGTTTCCTCATAGCTTTTGTTCATCCATTCACATATATTCTTCACCCATGTTTTTCTTGGTCTTCCCCTCTTTCTCTTTCATTCAGCTTTTCCTTCCATTAACATTCTTCGCAGTTGGTTCGCTCTTACTATGTACCCAAAATACTTGCATTTTCTTTTCTTAATTGTTACAATATTTGAAATAGTTAAATACTGTATACTGTACATACATTGTGTATTCAGTTATGGTTGTGAAAATTGACAGTTACAGTTGTCAAAGCCTGTTCATATTAATTAGTGCAAGAATTCCATCAGACAAAAATTGTCTGGCTCTGCTGGGCATTGTCGATTCGGAAGATGCATTGCTCGTGGAAGCTACAGGTGACACTTCAGAATCTGAATTTTTAGGAACATCATTTTCTGCTTCTTCCTGATGCTCTTCCTCATGATCATCCTTTTCATGAGCATCTCCCATTTCTTCTACATTTTGCTCAACATTTTCAGTAACATGATCTTCCATGCTTTCCGGTGCATTTGCGACAGAATTTAGTACAAATGGACCGCTTAGCTCTATACAGCTATCAAGTGGCGGTTGATTGACAGATTTTAAAGGAGCTGGTGCTGATGTATCAACATAAGGCATTGTCAACTGTTCTTCATTTGCTGATGAGCTACTGACTTTTACAGGAGTTACCATCATTGGTTTCGAGTCATTCCTTGAGGCAGGGTTAACCATATTAGCAGGCGATGACCTCCCAACAACAGGTTCTCTTTTAACTTGTTTCTCAGGTTCAAAATTCATTACATTTTTACCTATATTTTTTACCTCATCCGAATTCATCTTTATCTGATCTGGTTGTTGTTTGTGTATTTCTTTCACCTTAATTTTTTCTTTGTTTTCAGGTGGTTCCCACATGCGTTTAGTTGTCTTCTTACTTGTTTGACGAGAAACATTTGGAGACAGTCTCTGAAATGCATTAAAATATAATATATTAGGCCTAAATAATAAATACTCTTGCAAATATCATATTTTTAGGAGTAACATATTGGATGTAATGATACTCGAACCAAAAAGTATAAATAGAACAAGAGAGCATACTCCTATTCTTAAAAACATCACTCCCCTAGTTACAATGGAAGTTGCCATCGTTGTTATGTAGTGCGCCAACTATGTATGAGATCACATAAAGTGCACCTGCTTCGATGGCATGATAATAAAGAAAAACAGGAAAATCTACTGCCCTCTATGAATGTATTTTATCATGGGGAAAACAGAAATACAAATAAACAAACCATGCACGGTGCATTACTGGGTAATCCATTGGTAGCGGGCGTCCTACACTGGCTGCGTATGGCATATCGCTTTTTTGCGTTCTTATTAGCGTAGTTAGCTCTCTTGTTCTTTTTATACTCTTTACTGGAGCCTAGACTTTACCTCAACTGGCTGCTCTGGTAGATCCATGTCACTGAGGTCATAAAACCTTTCAATTTCTGATACCACATCAGCTCTTTCCATTTCTTTCAAAAGCTGCACCAACTCTACCAACCTCATTCCTCTGGTTCTCAACAATTCATACAGCTGTGGGGCACCTTGTATGCTGTTAACCTCATCGACTGTCATATCTAATGTCGTAAATAAAAAAAAAGTTTCCTACAATTAAGGTATAATAAAAGTAAATAATCTACAATTCTTAAAAGTTTCCTAGAATTTTTAGTTTTGCAGCAGTATATCACATAGACTAACAATGTGACAATTAAAATCTAGTTTAGCTTTAGCATAATGTAAAGAGCTTCCTTAGTAGACAAACAGATAATCATTAAAGTATGTCCTGTAAATTTGGCATTGAGAGCGATGTAATGTAGGAAGATTGCTGCGCCCATGCTATAACTTAGAATAATGCTTTAATTGAAGATGGGGTGATTGAGAAATATTGCATGATAATGTTTATTTAGAGATTGACTAAATACACACCTTTGAGTGGAATGGCCGTGTGGTTAAGGCTGGGGCTCTGTAACCTACAGCCACGCTCGCCTATGCTTCTTGAGGCAGAACAAGTCTACTTAGATAAGGACTATTATAAACTGTAGGCCCAGTGTACACGAGTGGATCATGTGCACTATAAAGAACCCAGTACATCTTTCAAGACAAGTAGAGGGTTATTCTGGTGTACTGGTCCATGTTACCCCTGTTGTGGACAGACGAGGGTAACTGGTACCTGTTTACCGAATAGCTCAGACACAAACAGACCCTTAGTTGAGAAGAAAGTTACTGAATGAGTGCTCTGATCTTCATGAAATAGCACTATATAAATGCTGAAACTAAAAACAATCATTTCCGAGCCACTAGGGGCTCAATGGGCTAGAGCTTATCCCCAGTTTCCGTAGAGTGAAGCGGATGAGAGTTGTACTCCCCCTGGACAGGATACTAGTCCATCGCAGGTTAGTCCCCAGCAGATTGCTGGTACCCATTGATACAGCTGGGTGGACAGAAGCAATGTAGCTAAAGTGCCTTGCCCAAGGACACAAGCGAATCTTCACAGTGGAGACTCGAAACTCTGACCTTACGATTAAAAGTCCGAACCTCAACCGCTGCGCCAAACTGCTGCTACATAAATGCTGAGTAAATATATAAACCAAAATTTCTTAAGACTAGTGAATGTTGTGAAGTACCAATGATCAAATCTTACTTAATTTAGATGCCAAAGACTTCCAGTTGGGTGGGTAGTCGTTGTTGTCGTTCATTAGTTTGTTAAATACCTGTCTTACTCCTTGATGCACTTTACCTAAGGTCAACTCATTCACGGAAGTAACTTCTTCGGGCTCTTGGTGAAATATTCTTGTACTCTCTCTGCCTGCTAAAAAAACATTTTACCAATATGGGTATAACAACGCGATACTCTACAGTATTTTTAAAGAAAACAATTTTGGGATATCCGATAGGGGCTGGGAAGGGCATATAGTGGATAGTACAGGGTGATGGGAAAGGTATGTGAATAGCAGTAATACTGTATCATCACCATTAATATATTTAACATATATTAATAATAATAATAATATTCATTCGGCATTCCAGATATATCATTTGCCAGGAAAGAGAAAAGGCAATTAGCCTGAACAAATAATTCTATACTCTTTCTTCTAATATATCTATTACATAAATACAGTGTTTGGCAGCTAAATTAAGTAAGGCTTATCATTGACACTTCACAACATTCACTAGTCATAAAAATCCTGTTTTGTATTTCCTCAATATATATTACATACTGTACATTAAATCTCATGTTTCTACAGTAGATAAAACCCTGCTAATATAAAATGAATTTTGGCAATCAATAAGGCACACATGAAAAGCAGTACAGTAGCACCCTATTCTTAATTCAAAAATAATATAATAGTAAGGTGTTTTGGTGTTTGTCTATTATCCTTCTTTTAATCATATCAGCAGTGTGCTACTAAAAAATGCAAAACAGGATTAATATGCAAGAAACAAATGACAAGAAAAAATATATATATATATATATAATTCTCTTATAAAATATTTTGAGGATGAGGATACAATATAATATACCTTGACGATTGTCATCACCTGGTCTTGTATATGCCTCAGGGCTTAAAGGTGTACTCTGCTGGGGTTCAATATCCAAAGCTGGGTGACCAGGCTGGTGTTTAGCTATATACTGGCTTGTGTTTGTTAAGAGCTCTGGAGGCAAGCGAGAGGATGCTTGCTGAGTGGACTGAGGAGGGGAAGCCTGTTTAGGGGACTGTGGAGGAGATGCCCCCTGAGGGGAATGAGGAGGGGATGCTTGCTGAGGGGAATGAGGAGGGGATGCCCCCTGAGGGGAATGAGGAGGGGATGCTTGCTGAGTGGAATGAGGAGGGGATGCCCCCTGAGGGGACTGGGGCGGGGAAGCCTGCTGTGGCATGCTTTGATGCCTGTTTGTTTGATCTCTTTCAGGATGTTGAGACTGGCCTGCATTTACAGATATGTTACGATTCATCTCTTGGCGTGGAAAATTAACTGGCTGCTCCACCGTTTTAGTTGATGATGAGGTACGCCGGTCATCATCATCATCTTGGAGTAGCTCTAGTAAGTCAAAGTATTCTTCTTCTCTCAGGGCATTCATTAAATAGTCATACCAATCACTGTCAGCTTTGGTTACTTTCATATAAAAATCAAATGCTGCGGCCTGGTTGCCTTCAATTACAGCTTTTCGCTCTATGGTTTCCTAAACATATACAGAAAACATGTTTGCTATTAAGCTAAGAACTAGAAATTGCAAATTGCAAGTGAAGTGCTGCGAAGTACAACTGCATTATAAATGTTCTTCGAACAAAATTATTTATGCGAGTCAAGTGAAAATAATGAATAATAAAAATATAACAAAATAATATGAGACACGACCCATTGTCTATATTAGAACACTTCTCATTGGGTAACAAAGTCATGTTTTTCATTTTTGTCAAAAATTGTCTATAGTGGTGAATTATAGTTTAGGTTTTTTTTAATAAAGTTTCAAAAATTTCTATGTATGTGGAAAATGTAGTTGATTACCAAAGGTTACAATTTTTATTTTGAAGACTGCATGGTCTAGGAAGTGTACTGTACATTTTTTTATGGGGCAGTTTCCAAGGGCGGGTTTTCTAGGGGCGAGTTGACTGCCAAAGAGTGTTGCCAAAGTGCGAGCCAGCGTGTTATTTGATCACAAGTGCGAGACATATCACAAGTGTGAGCCAGCGAGCCATGACGTCACGACAATAGATATGAGACGTTAACGAGTTGTGTGAGGTATCGGCTGAGATTTGTGGAGTACAATTTCAAAAAACAACTATAGGTCTAATAATGAATTATCGTGATGTTAAATAGACAATGTTAGCTATCAAGGAGTGACGTTGTTTTTCATTGGAACATTTGTCCCTTCAAGGCTAAGCCTATACCATCCTAGCTAGTCTAGGCCTAGAGTAGGCCAAGGCCAGCGCGACATGCGGACGTTGGTACGTGTAGGTTAGTCTACAAACGTCGCCTAAAGTCATTGATTTTACCCGGCAGAACGAAAGAAGGAAACTCCGCTTTTCAGTCGTCTTAGGCCATTGCTTTTTGACAAACAATGACCTTTCAGAGGTCAAATTGCTGTCAAGAATATGAATTGGCTGCTTCGCAGCAATAAGAATAATAAAATCCAATAAAGTTAGCATAAGAGCATTTTTTAAATTGTAATTTCTTACCATCCACCACAAAGACAGACAAAAAGTAGTTTGTGTTCACAACAACAAAAAAGTACAGTACACATATCAAACAGAATTGTAGTCAAGCACTTGTATTTCTAATAATAATAATAATAATAATTCATATTGCACAAACTTTTGTATGAATAGATTGTAATAAAATATTATTTAGTGAAAATTCTTTGTGATAAATCCATCAAAATTGTACTTGTTTGGCCAATTAAAACATTAGTATTATCAAACTATCAATTAAGGAAAGGCTAATATCTTTCCTGAATTAGTGTGAGGAAGGGAACCCATAGATTCCTAGTAAGCACTTACCTTTGTACCCTTTGGCATTTTAGGGAAGCAGTGTAATATATTTTTTACTTCTACTGTTTTTATAAATTTAGAACAGTGAATGTCAAGACGCTTTTTTCTTCTTTCATTTTTACCCATCTTCACCTTCAGTAATGCAATATTAAGCAATGTTTATCTTGAAAGAAAAAAAAAAACTACTGGTATATTAAAACATAATATGCTGGGGCAGATGCAGGGGGAGGGGTGCAATGGTGTGATCTCACCCCCTAAATTGTATTAAGAAAAACAAATTATTGTATTGTCTTGTTTATAGATTATTTAGTACCAGTAAGATTCCATATCCTCAAAATTGTCTTACCCCAGCCTCAACTATGGTTGGTCTAAGGCAGTAGAGGTCTGAGGTGGTGTGGATTCTTCCCCCTCACCCCCAACTACCAAATCCTGCAATCGCCCCCAGATATATCTGCTCTTTCTCTTGTTACGCACAATGATAATTTTTTTTTTCTCAGGACTGCCTAGAAATGGCACTCTCAGTGAGTGACGACAGACATGTGTTTGCTTAGTATAGGCCCAGCTGGCCTAGGTCCTAGGTCTAGGTGGTTTAGCACAGGCCTTTTTTGTTTTGTTTTTTTTGTTTTTGGTCTGACTGCCCGACGAGCTCTGGCCGGTGGGGGTGCTTGACTGTCCGAATAAACAGTTTACCAAAAAAATATTTAGCAGAAATATTACAGTAGTGCACCTGTTTAATTCCAAAGTGTTAGATATTGAAAAAAAAAAACAACAAAAAACCCTGCTGGGGCAGCCAGCCTAGGATAACGATAGGCCTACCGTTTACTTTAAAACTTTTCCATCGTGAATTGAAAAAAAACAAAAACTTTGTATGTAGCCAGTTTGAATTAAATGTACCTGAATAAATTTGTACATTCGTGTATTTTGTTTTACTTCATATTCATACAAATATACATTATTTTATGAATCTATAATATATCCCCTCTATATCAAATTCATAAATCCGCCACTGACAGTAGGTAATTCAAGAAGCCCAAACTGAATCTAGTTCCCCCTCAATTTTTAAAAATAAAAAAAAATTGGGAAAAAAGAAAATGATAGGGCCTATTCAAATTGTATGAGAGTGCAATTTCTGGCCATTTTGAAGGTGCCATGGCCATAAATTTTCTTTCCTCAGCCTTAACCATGGTGAGGCTGAGGTGGTATTTCCTCCATCTGTGAAAGTCCCTCCCTGGTCCCTCTTCAAATTTCTAGGTCAGCCACTGAAAACCGTATATATGCATCTTCAGAAATCGATTAAGACCAAAAAATTATCAAAAATGCCTGAGCTCCGCCCCCTCGATCCCAGCAGGATTCCTTCCCCCTAAGTGCCCCCACCTCTCCAATTTTGGTCCAATCTCTACAATTCGCACCCACCCAATAAAAATCCTGCATATGGGCCTGAATATATAGGCCTAATTATTTGGATAATATAAAAATGAATAATAAGAACAGTTATATACTAAAAAATAATATTAGACCTAGGCCTATACAAGGCCTTTTTCACAAACCGGTAGACATCTTGAAGTGATGACAAACATTGCGAATCAGCAGTGCGTAACCAACAGAAATAAGATAAGCTTTTGGGCTGATTTTCTGATATCATGTTATTTAAAAAATCATAACTCCATAACAGGGCGTCGTATCCAAAAGATTTTTCCATCAAAATGTTCTTAAAAGACTAGTCTACACCACTATATGATTGAAAAAAAATGTTTTTGACCTCTGAAATCAAGATGGAAAAAGAAAAGCCTATCTAAGTAGTGTTTTAAAATAGCCTATGCATTACAGGGCAGTAGCATAGTACTTTCGTGTTGTTACTGTTCCAGGTACCAATAATATACAGATTTCTCTTATTATAAAGTACAAGTTATGTTTTATAATAAGTATAGTATAGTAAATCATGTTTTTAACACAGGAAACTCACATATGGTAACTAAAACAATGCTAGTCCAGCTTATAATTTTTTTTCAATTATATAGTGTGGTGTAGACTAATCTTTTAAGAACATTTTGCTGGAAAAATGTTTTTGGATACGACGATCCGTTATGGAGTTAATTATGATTTTTTAAATTACATGATGTCAGAAAATCAGCCCAAAAGCTTATCTTATCAGCCCAAAAGGTTACTCACCGCTGATTCGCAATGTTTGTCATCACTTCAAGATGTCTACCGATTTGTGAAAAAGGCCTTATAATTATTAATATTATTTAGGTATAAGAGCCTTATTTGGAATACGCCTTCCTCGAATTGTGAAAAAGGCCTAACAATAACATGATGTCAGAAAATCAGCCCAAAAGCTTATCTTATTTCTGTTGGATAATACGCACCGCTAATTCGCAATGTTTGTCATCACAAAATGTCTACCGATTCGTGAGAAAAATTCCGTATCATTTGGGTAGTTATCTTCTGGACCGAGCTGGTTTGGGGCCGAGCATGGTTTTGGGCCGAAGTGTTGTCTGGGGCCGAGTTGGTTTGGGCGGATTGGGTTTTGGGCCGAAGTGACCTGATACCGAGCGGAGGCCTACCTATCTACCCTAGGCCTACCTAGGCTAGGCCCTAGGCCTGCCCAACAAGAACAACAATCAAAGACTCATTCTTACTTACCACCCAGCCTGTTCTACCTTTAAGCCTAGGATAGGCTCTATCTCTCACCAGGGAGAACAACCCTGATCTCACTAACCAGATTGGACTGCAGTAATTCTTCTTTCAAGTATTATTTTGATCAAGTTTTGCTTCCGCCCACTCACAAAGCCAATGCCAAAAAACCCAGCACACGACAACAGTAAACATCGAATTAAACATCAACGTTCATGCATCGCATTTCGCAACACATGTTTTTATTTGACACGGTGTTTCCGGTTTATTTTTAAATTTAGTGACGTCATAAGTTTCAATGCGTACTGGATTATGATTTAGGGCTACAAAATGTGCCTCGATGATTGCCTTAAAAAAGTATTGTCCAAGAAAAATGAACAAAATCCAGAATAATCAATTCTTAAGTTAACTTGTAACTCGAAGTGAGCAACAAAGTGTTTGGTTTCGATTCATTCGCCCACATATCCATGATGACAGCACTCTTTTTGCAGACGGGGGTTTCCAGTTTATTTTTACCTTTAGTGGCATCACAAACTAAACATAAACATTTTTTTTCAGTTGTAGTTTGTTTGATAATATACGATTTAAAGAACGTAATGATCTAAAAAAAAATACCTGGAATTATCAAATACAGTAACTGTAATATCTGGCAGATATTTCAATCATCGGACCTTGATAAAAAAAATAAAAAAAACTCCATTTCAAGTTCTTGGAGGTGAAAATACATTACTTAATGAAGATGTTCTTAGAGCCTTCGACAAGTTTTGTAAGAATTACGCCAAGATAGCATGGTCCAAACGTTCAGAAATTAAGTCTGCATCAGTTTAATATAAATATGTTATTCTTGTATTGTTGCATTTTGAATACTGATTAGTAGTATTATTTATTAGTTTTAGTTGCTTTATTTTGTTAACATTTTTTCTAACTTTATTTGCTACTGTGTATTTATTTAATTCATACCTTACATTTGTTAAACTACAATGCATGAAACTGTAATTAATATATGGTACGTGGTGGTATAACTGAATCAAGTCTTTCTTAGTTTAATACAAATTTATTATGTTGCTTTGTTTTTGAATTGTCTACCTTGTTTCACTGCATCTATGCATTTTTTAATTGATTGAATGAGTAGGGAGGGATATATTTGTGTATGTGTACACAAATGTTTTTTTTAAATATTATTGTTCTGTTTTATTCTTTTAATTTTAAGTTCACTTCCCTATTTCTCAGTTTCATTGTAATTATTTTTAAGTTTTTTTCAATTATGTTTTATTTGTATTTATTGTATACTTTCCCTGACAGCGAAATATAAGGTCCCTCCCACTGGCGCCACCCCTGATTACGAAATATAGGGCTCTCCCACTGCAGTGGTGCCACCCCTGACCGCGAAAATAAGAATTTAAGCCTGAGAATGCAATTTCACTTTTTTCCATTGTATCAAAACAACACAGCAGTCTTATAATAAGAAAAATCCATTCAACCTTATCTAGAAGTCTTGAAATGAACTGCTGATTAGGGGCGCGAGAAGTACAGTAGGAAGCTCGATGATCAGTTGAGGGGTGCTAACTCGCAAAATAAGGTGATTTTAGGTGATGTTTAACTACTTCCAAGTAATTTGGGGGGGGGGGGGAGAGCGACTGGAGGAGCGAATAATTCTTGGAGGGGCGTGCGCCCCCGACCCCCGCTAGATACGCCACTGAACTTTATTATTTTGAGATTCATCATCGGAGCAATAAACCAGAATTTTCTTCCCCCTCCTTTAAAGTGAATATCGGTATAGTCTTTCTGCATGTGTGTTACTCCGCGTAAACCAATTTTGACCCATCCATGGGGATTTCTTTTTCTTTGTTTTACGTGTACTTTCATATAGGATTCTAATCTGTACTATAATATGCACCCTTCATTCTAAATCGTTACTCTGGGCCTTCATCTTACTATCCAATAAAAGGCTCAATATTAAAAAAAAAAAGTTATTTGGTCAATTACATTGCATCACGAAATAAGATTAAGAACACATAAAACTATTGTTGTTTTACGTACATTTCTGCTGATTTCATATTATAAATAAATTTTGCATTACTAATTATTGCTATAAATTAGTTCTAATTCTACTGTAACTGAATCTTATGTCAATAAAAATAAGATTTTTTGGTTATATGAAAACATGCCAAAAACCCCTTTTAAGGACAAAAACCCCTATTCAGGTAAAACTCCTATTAAGGGAATTCTTTTAAGCCCCGAAGGTGTCCAATAGGAGTTCAATGTATTCTGAATTGCTGGATTCGCCACAGACGACGGGGCCACAGAATGAAGAGTGAATACACCATCAACATTCTAAAAAATCACAACACAATCATCATAACAATAATAAACAAAATTGAAATTTATTAAACATAGCATAACTATAGATAACATGGTTTTGTAGGACATGCACGTAACCCTTCCCTGTTCTTAATTACGTGGATACTTGGTAGTCAGGCACTCTATTCTTGGGGGTAGGGCCCTCAAACGTTCTTTACAGGAATCCACACTGGGTGCTCATGAAACGACGCTCTCCGGAAGTTAGTTCCACTAGAGGTCACTCAGTTGCTAAAAAAACTGTTTTCCAACTGGGGTCTATTATGTTTGCAGAAAACCAAGCCCCGTTATTCAACCCCCGGCCAGCCAAAGATTTTGATCCGGCCCGCGCAACATTGCTAAAAATAAACAATTTTCCGGCCGATTTTTAGAAAAATCTTCTGTTTATAGGAACACAACCTAGGACTAGGCACCCCTACTTTAGCACTGTTTGATTTCTAAACTGTATTTAATAGTCATCATGATATCATGCGTTATATTATTTATACTCATACATATACCATTACATTCCTACAATTTATTTTCTATTCCACAATTTTTTTAATTATATAGGACCTTATGCAAATCTTACTATATTTTATATATAATAGAATAACCGCCCCTCCTAACGTGAAATTTTCCTTTTCCGTTTGAATAAGCGCCACTCATAAGATTTTCTTTTTAACAAGTCAATAATCCAATCAATACTGGGACTGTGGTTGTTGGTATGATTTGAGCTGTAGAGTGGAAACACATTCTTCTTCAGTCAATATCAAAATGAGGATATTTCTCTTGCACATTCCCATCTAGTTTTAAAGAAAAAATACAATGATCCTGCCATCCTGCTAATCTCAATCGTCCGATGGCCAACAAGCTAACCACCAGCATCTGCTATTTTGCTGTTATGTAAATATTCACACATTCTTGTAATGAGCCATTTTCTCTGGACGATTATATTTTCTAACCACCATGCGTGATGTCCTTATATAATCGTTTTTCATTCAAAAATTGCCTCTTGAATTTAAAAATTTTCAATAAGAACCCCTCGATTTTCATCTATTTCCATAAGCGCCTATCACTCTGTTTTCATAAGCACCCCGTTTAAATAAGCGCTCCTCAGAAAGTGCAAAAATATTTTAAGCTTATTCGCGCGAGTACGGTAACTCAAATTCAAATAACACTTTTCATCACTCGTGCAGCTCAATCAAATAGGGCCTATTATATATTTAAACGACCCATTAGTATAGCATGGTAACATAAAGTAAACTGAAAAAACATTGACATAACCGAATAATACATTTCTCTAATAATATAATTATCGGCGGCCATTTTTAATTTTGGCGGCCATCTTGGATTTGAGGCAAAATTCTTGTTGGTGGCCCTTGATTTGAAAAGCTTAGGTCTGAAGTGACAATTCCACTTCAAGAAAGTTGCCAACACCAAATAAATATGTTATATATCTTTAATAATTGTAATTTTGGCGGCCATTTTGGATTTTGGCGGCCATCTTGGACTTGAGGCAAAAATCTGGGTGGCCCCTAAGCTTATTTCAAATAGTATGGGGTCAGGATGATAAATCCGCTGAGAAAACCTTGACCGGAAAAAAATGGCAGTTTATCCTTGGCTGGGCCCTGTTGTTATATTTCAGCGTTGTCTGTATGCATTATTAAATATGAAAGATACAAAGGAAACGTTCCTGCAAAAAAGTAACTGTTAATCCACAGTGTCAATGACTTCTATACGACATGTTATAATTTACTTCGAAATTAAGATGATCATTGAATAAAACCCACCAGAGTTTGAGTCGTCTTAACAATTGGTTTTGCCAGGGGATAAATTTCATTTAATAATATATCTCTTTAATTTTTGGTAGATATAAAGCATGGCAGGGGTGTCGATGTACAATAAGGCTGCCTTTTGAATCTTTGTATTTTATCCGATTAAGAGGCCTCGGCTGTCAGCCTATGGTTGTTTGCAAGCAGCATCACCATTACCACCATCATCATCATCTTGGAGTAGCTTTAGCAAGTCTGAGTATCCTGCTTTTCTCAGTGCGTTCATTAAGTAGTCGTACCAATCACTGTCAGCTTTAGTTATTTTCATATATAATTCATATGCTCCTGCTCGATTTCCTTCATTGGTTGCTTTTCGCCGTATCAACTCCTATAAACATAGAGAAAACATGCTTGCTATTAAGAGTAAGAATAAAATATAGATGGGCATATATTCAGAATATATTTTTGCTATGTTAATGTAACGATGTATGCTAATAGCGATATGTAGGTAAATGATATTATGCAGATGAATGACGCATGAAGACTAAATGACTAAATTTACAATTGCTTTTAAAACTTTTAAATTGATCTGTTGTTAGGGGCGGATTTATGGGGGGCGCCCCGCCCCCTTTTTGGAAAGTAAAAAAAAAATGGGAAAATAAAAAGAAAGAAAAAGAAAGAAAGAAAAAAATGATAGCCCAGAACGCCTCAAATGTTATTTTGAGGCGTCTAGAACACAAAAATTTCGCGGGTGCATGCCCCTGGACCCCCTAGGACGTGTTGTCTCGATCGGCCCAATTTCGGACATCTCTGGATCCGCCCCTGGTTGTTAAATACCAGTAGTCGCTCAGCAGGCCCTATCTCATAAAAAAATAGCATATTGCATATAAATGCAGTCTTTCTTAATTCATTTTGTTCTTTTGGGAGAGGAAACTTTTCCCCCACCCCATGCGCCGTTACGCCACTGCTGGGGCCCTCTTCCCGGCCCTCTTATTTAATGAAATAACGTCATGCTTTTCTCAACGAAGTCTCTTTATGGGGCTTAGGGAGTGAAGTTGTAATGGGCTTATTATGATAATAAATTCATTAGTGTAGATTTCTGATTTTCTTTGTGGTAAATCCATCTTAAAATTATTACTTAATCGTTTTGCCGATAAAACTATTAGTAAACCTATTATCAAATTATTAACTGAGAAAGGGCATTTGGCTCGTGTGCACTTTAAAGAACCCGGTACATCCTTCGAGAAGAAGAGTTGGGGGTTACCCCGGTGTACTGGTCCATTAAGTCCCCTGTTGTTAAATGGATATGCCACGTAGGACAAGTGATTAAGTTCACTTATTTGGCATAGCCTTGGCGCTCGTGCCTAAAGAAATGAAATGAAATGAAATAAAATACTTGCTGAATTAGTGAGGAAGGGGGAAGCCCATAGTTTCCTAGGAGACACTTACCTTTGTACCCTTTGTCATTTTAGGGAAGTAGTGTAATATATTTTCTACTTCTACTGTTTGCACAAAATTAGCACAGTATTTGTCAAGGCGTTCCTTTCGTCTTGCGTTTCTATCCATCTTCACCTTTTACTCATGCAAGCAATATTTATCTTGAAAGAAAAAAAATAATATATTAATATATCTTGAGATACGGACTAAAGCCCAACACGACTGACTGGCAAATAACTTAGTATGATGAATAAAATGTTATATCATACATAAAAGGTAGGCCTACATAAGTACAGTAAATGAGAAAACAGTAAACAGTAAAAGATAAAATTCATTAGGAACGTTTAAATCTGGTGTAACAATAGCCACTGTCTATTTTATTCATAGCATACGCACATACTAGCCTAGGTCCCAGGGAGGGTTTACACTTGCACGGCCAGTTGCCTGTTCTCTAAATTGCTAGGAAAGTTTACTACTACGGTGCATCTTATCTTGTCATAGGTATCGGCTGGCTTGTATACTGGCAGTATTTTTTTAATTTTTTTATAGAAAACCAATAAATTTATTAAATTTATTGTTGAGAAGTGTTGAGGGGGGGTTGTTTTTGGGGGGGGGGGGCGTTCGTTCGAGGGGAAGGTGTTTATATTTTTTGTGTAAAATGGATACGTTACACTCAAATAAACACGCCCCTTAATTTCACTGTATAACTAAATATGGATGTACACGATATAATTACCTTCAAATGTGCTATTGGGTGATCATGGAGACTCATTGATACCAACCAGATTTAAAAAAAAATGTAATTCCACTCAGTAGACCATTAATGGAATGGGTTGAGAATTATGTTGCTTCCATTAAATTTGTTTACAGTCATTTAGGGAGCATTTATTCGAGAAAAAATAAATGCCTCAGGGCGTTTATTCGAGGGAGGCGTATTCCAAATAAGGCTCTGGAGGGGCGTCTATTCGAGGGGTTGTTTATTCGAAAAAATACGGTATATTAAATGCAGTAGGTGTGACTATAGTAATACCCTGTGTAATACAGTACAGAACAGTAATATAATTCTGTAGAATAATAATTTTCTATGTTTAAAAAAATGTGTAAAGTAACAATATAACAAGAACAACAAACATACATCCATCAAGTCATTCTTACTTACCTCCGCCTGTTCTACGAGACTGACGAGCAGAGGCCAACCAGATCGAACTACGAGGACTATATTCTCAGTTTGCTTGGTTTTCGATTCACACACAAGCCCACTCATTAGACCTAAAAGAAAGAAACACGCCAATGAAAATAGAGATATTCCTTGCAGCAGGAAGCAACTAACTGAGCAAGCCACGATCGACAGAAACAGAATTGCAACACATTAATGTTTTTTTGTGGTTTTTTGACATGGAGTTTCCGGTTTATTTATAACTTTAGTGATGACGTCAAACTTCGACGCGTACCTGGATTTAATGAATGCCTATGCCTGGATGATTGTCTTAAAAATGTATTTTGTCCCCAAAAATGACCAAAAAAAGGTAATAAAAATAAACTAACTCAAAGTAAGCAACACATTCTTCTTTCAGCAGTTTGTTGTAACGATGATGGCAGCAGTATATTGCAGGCACTGGGTTTTTACAATTTATTTTATCTTTAGTGACATCACAAACTTCTACTAGTACAGTACATATATCCACTTCCTGTTAGAAAATATGTGACTGGCAGCAATCCTCTAACAATACCATGTCCTCTAAAAATGTTTAAAAAAAAAAGAAAAAAAAAATCATTTTCGAAATTAACGTGCTCATTTTTGAAGTACTATAGCATGAAACTTAACCAATTAGAGCATAGGAATACCGAATTTATTCAAATAAATGCCCTGGGGGCGTTTGTTGTTGTGCTAGGCCAAGTGTATTGTTTTTGTGTAAAATGGATACGTTTTAATACGCGCTTAATTTCACACTAAATGTGCAACTACAACATATACCGTCAAAATGTGTTTAAAAATATAATTCTACTGGAGTAAAATATTGATAGAATGTGTTGAGAATGATGTGGCTTCCATTAGTTTTGTTTACAGTCATCCATTTTTTTAGTGGACGTTTATTAAATTTTTTTTTAAACAAAAAACAAAAATCAATGACCAGGGATGTTTATTCGAAGAGTCTACAAATAGTTAAAAATGACATACAAATACTGAACACGAATTATGCCATTATTGGATACTTCATAATACATCTGTCAATGTAAAATTTGTGTCCGTTCAGCTTTCAAAAATTCTGGATCCGTAACTACAGTCTGAAAAAGGATAAAACCAGTGCTATGTAACAATTTAATGCATAAGTATAGTCAAAATACGTATTTTTTATTTAGATAATTGTATCTATCTAAATCTATCAAGTTACTCATCAACGCCTGTTCAGATCTGGATGATTTCATGCACAGCATCCAAAGCGACGTTCGTAATCAAGTACTCTAATCTTTTCTTTCCTTTTCCTTTCTTATGTGGCCTTGCTCTCTTTCCTTTCATGGAAATCAATTGCATGGGCCTATTTATATTTATACAGTATTTATAATTAAAAATGGATTCAAAATGGGAGGAAAAGAATGAACTTACATTGAAATTCAAGTGTGAGAGTGCTATTTCCAACCATCTAGAGATGCCCAGAATCATGCAATTTATCCCCTCAGTGCCAACCATTATTGGTGTATCCATATGCAACCCATAAAAGTCTCCCCCTACCCCCAACCACCGGGCCCCTTCTATATTGAATTCCTGGATTCCCACAGATAATAATGAAGAATGAACATAACATGAGTATTCTATAAAATGGACACTAACACAATTAATTCTAATTAATCATCATATCAATAAACAAACTTGCAAATTTATTCAAATTATTGGCTTTTAATTCAATAAAATATTCTGTAGACACACAAGGCATCATGTTTACATTCTGAATGTAAGAAATAAAAATCCTGCATCGAAACTACTCTTGAAAGCCCAGTGGACTCTGCTAATCCACACTGCTAAGGTCCAACGAAACGACAGCATAAACAACATACATATGCACGTACACAACATACATATGCATGTACACAACATACATATGCATGTACACAACATACATATGCATGTACACAACATACATATGCATGTACACAACATACATATGCATGTACACAACATACTATACATATGCATGTACACAACATACATATGCTGTACACAACATACATATGCTGTACACAACATACATATGCATGTACACAACATACATATGCTGTACACAACATACTATACATATGCATGTACACAACATACATATGCATGTACACAACATACATATGCATGTACACAACATACTATACATATGCATGTACACAACATACATATGCACGTACACAACATACATATGCTGTACACAACATACATATGCATGTACACAACATACATATGCATGTACACAACATACATATGCACGTACACAACATACATATGCATGTACACAACATACATATGCATGTACACAACATACATATGAATGTTTGGGGAACATGCACGTAAGCATGGCACTGTTCTGATTGTTCAGTTGTAAAGTACTTCATTACCTGTATGAAACCACACTAGCCTCTTGTACAATCATTCAATGTTCAGAATAGCAAATTTCAGTGGCGGATCCAGGGGGGATCAAAGGGTTCGGACGAACCCCCCTCTGTGAAGAAACGTAACAAAATACAACTGGGTCCTGGTTTACAAAAGGCATGCTAACCTACCTAGGCATAAGTTGGAAGATCAGACAAACAGGCTTAGCCCAACTAGTTTTCAATTAAATAAATTATACACACTGTTTTTGGTTCGCTGTCGTAATAATTTATGTACGTTCTTCAGGCGTATCGGTTCATCAATCCATGGAAGAAAGACTACAAATGTAACTACTCAATGTTGTTGGAATATAATATATTGCCTGTCTTTGATTTTTTTCCCCTCTATAATAGGCCTAAAGAATGAGATAAAATTACCTGTCTTTCTTCAAGAGGGGGAAAACCTCCATTTTTGAAGAACTTAAAGGTCATTAAAAGACTCCTCAGAAATTGGGAAAGCTCATTTCCGGCCATCTAGGAATCAAAATTTTCCCGGGGGAGAACCCCGATTTCATTTTGGGTATTTTTGGAAACATATTGAACCACCCTCTGTTAAATCCTGGATCCGCCCCTGATTAATTTATATTAAGAATAACAATTATTAGTTTTCTAGATACTGTACATGTGATCTTTAAGTAGTTTGATGGTATATGATATGAAGTATGTATCACGACTTCTTGTATCAAGACTTCTTATTGAAGAATAGATTGAGTGTATTGTGGTACATAGCATTGGCAAGTTCATTAGTATCTTCCCCTCTTGCTCCTGCCATCACTTCTAAGACTTGCCTGCCAAATAAAGAGACAAGAATACATGATCAATAATATATCGTTTACTATACATTATATGGTAAAATGAGAGGAATCAGGAACAAAAGTTAGCTGAAAAACATGGCAGGTGTGATGTGTACAGCCCTGGTACCAATACAAACATACACACCTATGAATGAATATACATATATACATATACACACCCACAGATGCATACATACCTACCTATAATAATTTTAAACAAATTAAATTGAACAAATTTAATTAAACACCTTAAAAACTAATCATCTTGATGTGTTATTCATGTTTTTCTTTTATTTTGTGTTGTTGGTCTGTAGTTTAAGCTTATTTAAGGGTGAAGCTAATTATTAGCCACTAGTCAATCGACTATGTGGCTATCTTGCCTCCCCTGGTTTGGTACCGAACTTTCATAAAAATAAAAAATTTAAAAAAAATATGTATGCATGGAGATATACTCCTAATACAAACCCACAGAAAACAGTAAAAAAACAAAACAATAAGCAACGATAAATTAGAACTTCAACAATTAAAATTTGGATTTAAGATTATTTCACTCAATAGCCTACGTAATCTACACAACACCTCACATTGATTATATAATGACTTCTTTTCTGTATAGGATACAGCTCAAGATTTGAAATTTACAGCAGTAAACATTATAATTCGTAACGTTTTAAATGGTTAATTTAACTTACACAATGTGACAAGGTTCATTGCGACCTTTGACACAGTGACCATCCTCCCATTTTTCTTTCTTGCATTTAGGAAACGTAGTTTGGATAAACTTTGAACCAGCATGAGTAGCCTTTACTTCACACCACGGAGCATCTGAAATCCAAGCAACAGTAGATTCAAATAAGTATAAATAATGTAACCAATAGAGGGCGCCAAGTAACTGCAATGAAAGTGACAAAGTTATGTTGCATGTAGATAAATTGAATAATGAATACATTTTCCAGTTTAAATTGTGGTCTAATACAGCGTTATAGCATGCCTACCTGTTTCTATCATCAACCATTCAGATGGTATTGAACACATTACATCAATGTTTTCTTGAGTTTTTAATGAACTAAAATAAAAGAAACTAATAGTCAATCTCAACAGACATAGAATGCTGCATTTGATATCCAATACTAAAAATCAATAATGATATATTATTTATATTTATATTGATATACTTTCAATTAAATACTTTCATTAACACCATCATTAAGAAAATAATTCTTTACAAGTGTCATAAAAGTGAAATAGTGGTACACAAGAATTATGCATTATAGCCAATCACAAATCTATCTTGGTCAAATCGAACTGCTGTTCACACTTGGTTTCAATACACTGTAGGCTTTAAGAGGGTAAGATTTTGCACATGCCTAGTCAGTTTAATTGTCGATACATTCTGTAGAATGTTCAACCATGCCCACTGCATTTAGTATGCGTTCTTGGAAATTTAAATTTTCGCACTGGACTTCTCTGCTCAGTAAAAACAGCCTGGTTTTCCTTCTTGGGTAACGTTTTCTCAGTTTAACTTATATTCAATGTGAACACAACTTTAAACTCACTGAAATAACACTGATCAGTACTAGAAAAAGGATGCAAGATAACTGTTAACTCACCAGCCATTGATACCAATGTAAAGACCTAAATCAATAACAGCTTTTGCTTCGTCTTTTGACCCATCAAAGCTGTGTACCTATGGATCAAAGAGGTACTACATTATCACAAGCAAGCGAGGTGCAACTAAGAGTGGATAGTTATGGTTAATCAAAGCAGAGATCCACTAACTTCTAATAAGAAAGTATAATATTTTAAGAATAAAAAAGCACAAAATCATTTGGATATGAGCTGGCATTATGAGGAGGGCTGACAAGTATGCTCAGTAGTGGGTAATGCTGGGTGTAGCAAGCAGGGATGTTGAACAGGCAGAGGTAAGGATGGCTAGAGGTGTAGGGCTGGCAGGAATGTTCAGGCAGTGGGTAGGACTGCATTTAGCAGGCAGGGGGTGGGCTGTCAGAAATGTTCAGAAGGTTGGAGATAGGGGTGGCTGGAGGTGTATCTGGAAGGAGATGTCAGGTTGGTAGAAAATGTGGGGCTAGCAGGGAGTGTAAGGCTTTAATACTCTTTCTATTAAGAATTATTGATATACATAAGAGAGATATATATCAAAATAACCTACTGGGTCAGCTTTTCAAAAAGTCCTGTCAATTTATTTCTAATGGGTACAGACTGTAGGGCTGACAGAAAGGCAGTAAGATTTCCTGATTAGAAAAAAATGTTTAGTAATATCAAATAATTGATAATACCTACCACCCCACCTGTATATCTGTCTCTATTCCTCTTCATTATATCTAAAAGCAAGTGAATGAAAATTCATAATATTATAGAATATGATTGTAGAAATAAATAAATGTTCATGCTTATTAATGTCTCCATTGTTAATACCAACTTTCTTAACGTAATCATTACCAGCATTTCATTGTCAAATAGGAGAGTTGAACACCTATATGAAATGTGATTCATACAAAATGGAATAAGACTATTAACAGAAACTGTGGTTTAAAAGTTAAGGGGCGCCAACTCCAAACTCAAGGTTCTGGGTTGAAATATAAGAGCATGACATTTGTCTTCTAATTATAACTCCATTCAGTTAGCTCCATAATCAGATATCTTCCTTGTCCTCAAATCATCCTCATCATCTTTTTTAATCCTTTTTCTTGATTGTTCTTGCCACCCACTGTGTTAAATGTCATGTCCTAAAGAAGAATATATTATTGGTTCCTCTTCCCCATCCTCAACTCCTCCCCCCTCACCAACTTGTAAACATACCTACTCACCTATGAAGTCACTGTGTGAGTTTCGACAATGCAGAAACATTGGAAGCTTGGATTTCTCAGCCAATTCCATCTGCTGTTCAAAATATCTGAAAGAATATGGTTCTGTGACTAAACAAAACTAATTAAATAAAGGATAATGAATAATAAATGTCCAATTCCCAAACAGTTAATTTCTTACATTTTTTATAATAAAATATTGGGTTTTTTTTTACATTAGTTTGAAATTGTTGCCATTTGTTTGTTGTTTGCCTAGCTGTTCATAACAATATAACAGAAAATAGACAATATTTAAAATGTTGCTTATACAGTTAAATTTGCCTAAGTTGAACTCATTTTACATGCCAAATTGTTTGTTTGTTTGTTTGTTTAATGGTTTCTCCAACACTTCAAATTAACATATCAATATAAGGTGATAACAATATAATAAGAATACAAAGTTACAAAATCGGTGTAAATGCAAGTAAGAATAATTAATTGGAAGTGTGGAAGGAGGTCAAAATAAGTAAAAACTTTAAGACTTGACCCCCTGTAAAAAACCAGAAGATGGTAAATAGAACTTTAGAACACAGCATAAAGTGTGAAATCAAACTTAATAATAATAATAATAATAAGATATGTAATGATCAGAGAGAAACTTATTGTTGTGATTTTCATTAATTAACAATCTTTAAGTCAAATTTTATCTAAGTTGAACAATATTTCAATGGCATTTTGAATTCGACTTAGGCAAGCTTAACAGCAGAAATATTGTAAATTCAAAAACTTACTTCAGTTGGGTCTCCTTTGGACAAAAGTGAAGCCTATCATAATCTACAAAAGGGGGAAAACATGTCACTTTCAGTCCAGCATACTGTACATCAATCCTACCAACCATGTAGAGAATGTAAACATCATAATTCTCTCTTTCAATGAATGGCTGTGAGGTAGTGCATATCTGTTGTCTAATATGCTATAAACAAAATGCACCAACTCAGGCACAGACACCAATGATATCAAAAGCCAATTATTGTATAATTATTATTATTATTATAAGCCAAGAATATTGAGTCCTTTAATCAGGAGAGGAAATGTTTCAATGAACACAACATTTTTTAAGCAAGACTCATGGAGGTACATCAATATTCATTTGGTCTGCACGGTTAAATAGTAATCAAAGTACAAGTGCCAAGTACCAAGCGGGAAGAAGCCTGCAAGAAGGCCTCCGAACCTACTGTACCTTAAACTGAAATTAACTTTTGTATAAATCACAAAAAGAACAAAAAGAGGTGCTCTAACCTAGACCACATTCTCCAATGGCTACAACTTTGTCCTGACCCTCCTTTACCAAGCCTAGAAGGTCATCCAGGTAACTGTCAGAGCCTTCTTGTTCAAACTCACTACATCGGGTAGGATGACAACCAACTGTAGAGTACAGAGAATCTAAGAAGTATAAAAACAAACAATTATTACACTGCAGTCGACTGAATGTAGATTATAAATTAGAATTGATGATGATGATAATGATGATGATTAGCATGATGGTGATGTTATTTGTTAAGATGATGAATATTACAATGATGATGATGCCTGTCATGCTTGTCAAATCATGAACTGAAATAAACATATTCCATTTTACAGAAACATTCCACTACCACAGCATATAGTATATCTGCGCAAGCCCAGTATACCAAAAAATGATGATGATGGCATTGGTGAAAATAATGGTGATTATAATGATAATATTTACAAATTATTTTTTACCATGTGTTTTTGCTAGATCCAAAGCCTCCTTACTGTCTTTTAAGCTCCCTCCTGTTACCATCAGCTGTGTAAATAAAAACAATAATCAATTACATATTTAATACATGCATCTTTAGAGATCAAAAGTAATAAATAATATCATGAAAGCGAAAAAGATTATATACTTAATTGATTCAAAGCCAACAAAAATATAATCATTAATTACTATAATTATCAAACACTCTCATTCAATGCAATTATCAAACACTCTCATCCAATGCCGTAGCCAGAATTTTCAAACAGTGTGGAACAATATCAGGGTGGACCCACTTTATGCGTAAATTCAAATAATTTTCTTAAAATTTGTCCCATTTTACGCACAAAAAAGAATAACCTGGACCTATTTTCTTACAAATTGACCTATTTTATGCAAAATATGAGAAATCTGGACCATTTGCTTAAAAGGTGATCCATTTTACACAAAGTATGAGAAATATGAGCCCATTTTTAAAATGTGGACCCATTCTTTGTGGACACATTAGAAAAATTGTGTGGGACTGTCCCAATAGCTGGCTACAGCATTGCTCTCATCTGATTATTTTAATAATGGCTGAAATTTGGGATGCGAGCTGCCTGAAAAAATAAAACATAATACAAACAGTACAAAAAAATAAGTAAAAGTAATATTTTAAAATTCTTAATACTGTATTATAATAAAGTGGAATATACACAGAAAAAACAACATACACAAATGTTGATTGTTTAACATTTTATCAAAAATATTTAGATACCTTTTGAACACCAACACTAAGAGCTCTTTGCAAAACTTCAAGAAAGTCATCTAAAAAAATTCAATAAAAACAATCTTGCTTAAAATCATAAACAGCTTCATCAACAGATAGGAAATGAATAAAGCTTTTGAGTTACATAATGAAAAAGTTGATAATGTGAAAGTAATATACAGTAATATATAAAAGATGTTTAAAACTATTAGAGTAAAGTCAATTTTTTTTTTAAATATTTTAACATGTTTAATTACCTTTATGTTTTTGTTTTCCATGGTACAGTCCTCTAAAAACATTATCTAATAAAATACAGTAAAGTGCATAAATAAATATTACTGTTGTAAATTTGGTGTAATCATAAAATATTAATAATAAAATACTATTAATTAGAAACACAATTTCTGCCTCACCTGTCAAATTCACTCCGATATCTGAAATGGAATAATTTCAAAAATTAGCATTATTTCTGATAATTGTTAGAATTTAATTTAAATTTTAGTAAAAGTATGTTTCTTGTAATTTTGTTGTGCCAAAATTTAATAAATCAAATCAAATAATGCATACCAAAATTATAAAATGTAGTAATGTATATTTAGTGTTGTAATGCACCCTTCCTTACTAAATTATAAATAATTATCCCGAAAAAAGTTTTAAAAATGTAATATTATATTTATTAATATTATCTTATTTAAGAGCTTAATTCAATTATATAGTCTGGTCCTAGGCCTTGCTAGCCTACTACACTGGTACTAACTAGTACTAGGCCTAGCCTAGGCCCAACTCTCGGAACGAGTGGTGGGCCTAGCCGGCCTACCCCCACCCCAAGTCCTACCTGGCTAGTAGTAGTAGGCGGCCCTAGCCTAACTAGAAAAAGAGCCTAGGCCTACGCCTTGCTCTTCAATTTAGTTAGGACAATACATTAATGTCGCTAAGCCTACAAACCAATCAACTTTAAAGTTGTAGTTTTAGCCATTTGTACTGTGGCTCTGAAAAATAGCCGTAGCCGTAGTACTGTTGGTTGCTGTACGGGTAAAAATCGACCAGAAAAAATAACAACACGTTGGTTGGTTTAGAATGTCAATAAGAGGTCAAAGTGTAAAGGTGAATAGCCACCAGTGTGCATGCATGAGCTACCACGACAGCATCAACAAACATACTGAAGTGGGTGGAGCTACTTAGTGGTGTTAGAACCGAAAGAAGGCTGGTGGTAGAAGTACATCAGGTAAGAGGAAGTGCATTTCGTTATATCATAATTAATATAAAACAATGTGACTGAAATAATATTAACGCCAATGTGTGTATAAAAATTATTAGTTTTATTAGATCTCTCTGTATGCGGAATATAGTACACAATACAAGGGCTAGCCAAGTCTAGCTAGGCCCAGGCCTACACATACATGTCATGTGGGTAGGCATTTTAGTACAGTCAGTCAGTGACAACTCCCTGAATACCGGGTGTTGAAACAATTGTAATTACAGTAGCCTTATGGAAACTTAAGAAAATGTTCATGTTGTCATTACAGACGTACTACTTACTATTTTCTGAATTTGTGTACTTTGATCGAATTTTGCAAATATGTATATATAAGCCTAGTAATATATTAAGATTTGTATACTTTTTAACGCATATTTTGTGACATTTTGCTATGTCATGCTTTGCAAGCAATTGTTATTGTATAGTCATAAAATCCTCGTATTTATTATCAGTGGTAGATTGTTTTATATATATTTTGTAAAGCAAAAATTATGAATGGAAAATCAATCTGTGAAATAGTAATTTGAAATTAAAATAATACATTTAATTAGGTCTAAAGGTCTAAAAATGAAATGAGGAAATACAGTTTGCCCTCCAATTTGAGACACCCTTAGCACCTGAAAATTTGGAGTGGTCTTGTGATTTGGTGTTCAAATAGAGGGTTAGCTTTGTGTTAAAAGATGAAGATTGTTATTGGATTCTTTGAAAAAGTTTTCTCAAATTAGAGGGTCTCGGAATTGAAGGGGTCTCAGAATACAACGTGTCTCGAATTGGGGGTGCACTAATAGTTATCATGGCAGCAAATTGTTAATCATGCATCCCTCTTAATTGTTATAGTAAATATAAAGCCAGTTTTTTAACGGAGGAAAAGAATTATGGCTCGAACTACAACCACCGAGAACCAGGAGGCGAATGGAAGGGACAAGGAAAAGATGTCTGGAATGGTGAAGATTGTGTTTGTTTCATTGCTACTGGATCTGTTAGCCTTCACAATGATTCTTCCATTGCTTCCATCACTACTCGACTATTACGGGAATGCAGATGAGGTAGGGAATGAGCATTTTTTTCAGTCTAAAATCATGATTATTTTGTCTTATTTCCTCATTAAACTTTCAGGAAATTTTAACGGATCAAAATCTACTTTTAAATTAATCTTTTAATTTGTTTTGTTTTATGTATTTAAAAAGATTATGGTAATTTTTACTCCCTTCAGCAATTTAAACACAATTAGCAGGTGAATTTTTACTTAAATACAAGTACACTACTTCAGGTGAATTATTATAATACCTCCGTGGGTGAATGAACAAATATTCAAAAACATTTGTTTAAGCCAATATTCAAATTCGAATAAAAGTTCTATGGGCTTAATTTTGTAAAGAAGCCCATCTGGAAAAAATACTTACTCACCATGTGTTTTTTGCAAAATGTGTCCTTTGCAAAAAGTGGCGAGTGCACTTGCTGTTGATTGTGAAGGAAATAAAAAATATTAAAAAAAAGACTTACTGCTCACCATATGTTTTTTGTAAAATGTGTCCTTAAGTATTATCATGAACGTGATCGTGTTCCTAAGTTATATAGGCAGTGAATATTGGTATGCAGTTCCCTGGGCACTTTTTAAAATACCAAAATGAGCAACAATGAATCTATTATGTAATTTATATTAAGGAATTAACTATGCATGATCATACACAATAGGTTTATATTCAATGAGTCCAATACAGTACCCAGTTAAACCAAACAAGATTTGCCATATTGTCCTTTGCACATTCATATAATATTTTCATAGTCCAAAAATATAATCTTATGTAAATTTAATAACATTCTAATGCACAGTTCATCCATATAGGATTAAGGTATTCTGATAAACTTATTGTGTTTTGAGACAATTGTATCTGGTTGCTGAGCACTTCAAAAGTATTTGTATACATTCATTCTTTATCTCATGTTAGAGTGGATTGTACTCCAGCATGGTATCTGCATGTACCGCATTCAGGGACCTACTTGGAATACCAGACACAGAAAAATACAATTCCGTACTGTTCGGAGGTAAAATTATGTTGTATAGTTTGGAATAGCTTTAATTTTAGTAGACAATTCATAGTTAGGTGGAATAGTTTTGTATTTTTTCCCATTCTCAATTTCAATCGTATCGTACATGACAGTTTCCCAGTTAAAATGACAAATGATATTGTAGAAACCGTATAGCGCATTGGTAAGGCTTTAGCCTTTCAATTAGGAAGTCGTTAGTTTGAGACCAACATCCTTGGGAGAGAGGTCTTAAAAGATGTGAAGTGTGTGTAGGCATTATTGATGTATAAAAATTTATGACCAATGTATTTCCTTTTGTATTTTAGGAATTATTGGTTCACTGTTTAGCTTTCTGCAGTTCATCTCTTGTCCAATCACAGGAGCAGCTTCTGATTTTTATGGCCGGCGCCCTCTTATGATTATATCAATGGTAAGTTTTCTTATGGCAGCTGGAATAGCTGACATTTCATAATTGTTCAAATCTGTTTGTCTTCATAGTTCAGTTGTAGATGTTAAAAGTTTATTTTGTTTTGTTTTATATCAACATGCAACATAAGGTAGGTATTGATTGTATTTAAACTTATATTTTTTAATTGTTTATCCTGAGCAAAATGCAGCAAAATTTTATTCAAATATTTCTCTTTTTTTTTTTTAGGTTGGAATTGCAGCTTCCTACGTCCTATGGGCATTATCACATAACTTTGCAATCTTTGTATTGGCAAGGATTGTTGGAGGCCTTAGCAAGAGTAACGTTAGTCTCAGCACGACCATTGTAACAGATGTTTCGACGACTAAGACACGTGGAAAAGGAATGGTAGGTTTCTCAACTGTCTATGAAATATCATTTTTTTAAAGAGGTGGATTCAAAGAGAGAGAGAGGGGGGGGGTGTGGTGGGAAGCAGGCCTAGGATCCCCTAATTTCTTTTTAATTATAAAAAAATGGAGGAATTCATCTGTGAAAGCCCCTCCTTGGGCCCCCTCTATTTCGAATTCCTGGATTTGTGACTGTTTAGTGTATCAATTACCATTTTCTAATCTACTGTTTACATTTGTTACTATTTTAGGCACTTGTTGGAATCGCATTCTCTGTTGGGTTCATTGTAGGCCCTCTGATTGGTGCATTTTTTGCCAGCCGTGGAGTTGTAGAAGGAAATGCATTTTATGTGAAGCCTGCTTTGCTGGCATTGACGTTAGCAACTGCTGATCTGCTCTTTATATTAGCCTTTATGAAAGAGACACTGCCGGAACAAAAACGGGTAAGAGATGTTTTTTTCTCCCCTTAATTTACACCAGTGGTGTACACTGTCTGTACAGTATCTAAGAGTCTTGAAATAGGGGGGGGGCTGTAATGTGAGGGGTTCGATGAGGGGACGACATCTCGCAAAATAAAGTGATTTGAGGTGATTTTTAACTACTTGACTGTGATTTTTAGGAGCAACTGGGAGGGTGCGAATATTCTTTTCGGAGGGGGCATGTGTCCCCCGTGCACTCCCTAGCTATACCCCTGATTTACTTCTAAAACTAAATCTTTTATTATTGAATCTTGTTGGGGCTAGTGTAGAGAGTGGAGTTACAACCCTACTAAAACAAATAGTTTTGTATTTTATTATTATATATAGTATTTACTTTTTTTCTTGTTACAGGCGAAATCTTTTACCAGTACACTGACTGAAGTACAGGATTTAATCAACCCAATTTCCCTCTTTAACTTTTCAGCAGTTAAACAACTTAGACAAAAATGTAAGTTTGCTAAAAGATAAGCACTTTATTAAAGACTCAACAATTTTTAGTGGTGCATAATTTCATTTATGGTACTATTTATTTGGTTTTCGTAGGTAAAATAGTACATTGATTTTATTTAATAAATTTGTTAAATATTCATTTCAGCAATGCTTCGTCAAGTTGGGCTTTCCTATTTCTTTTATCTCTTCATCTTTTCTGGTTTGGAATTCACGCTAACATTCCTGGTTCATAGGAGATTCAACTACACAAGGTAACATGAATTTGATTGATTGATTAGTTGAATGGTTAATTGATTGATTGGTTGATTAATAGACAGACATATTGGTTGCCTAGCTAACTGACAGGTTGATTAACTGCTTAATTGATGTGAATGAATTCATAATTGATTGACTGACTGATTGACTAACAGAATGATTGGTTGGTTGATTAACTGATTGCTTTACTGAATAATTCTCTGAATAACAGATTGATTGGTTAATTGACTGACAGATTAATTGACTGATACAGTAGATTGATTGATTATTGTAGGGGCATTATTGAATTAGGTATTAATAATCTGTAAATACAATTTCTTCATCGCAGTATGCAGCAAGGGCGTATGTTCTTCTTCATGGGTTCTATAATGGCACTTGTTCAAGGTGAGATATCTTATATCTTAAAATATTTTATTTCCATCCAATTTTATCATTAAAGCCTGCACTAGTAAAATCAAACAAAATAATAATATTAAACCTACAGTAATATATTTGTCTATCATAACAAAATATTTTTAGAACATTTGAGGTTAGAAACCTCTCGGTATATATTTTCTTACACTAGTGGGACTTGGAGAGCTACAGTAGTCATTTCAGAACCTTAAAGGTCTTTATGAAGTTTGGAGAGTGACGATTCTGGACAATTTTTGCTCTTTCAAATTTTGATGTTGACATGAATGTATTTTGATGGTGTTTTAGGTGGCTATGTGAGGAGAATTCAACCTGGAAAAGAAAAGAAAGTCGCACTTATGGTAGGTTGCCAGAATATTGTAGAATGTCAAACCTCAAACCTACCCATATTTAATAGCTCTACCTTTGCTTGTTCTCAGAGGTTTTTTTTTTATGTATGAAAACAAAATAATTATTTAGTCATTTTTCTTTAAATTAAATATCACACTTTTCAAAGTATGATTATTTATTAATCCATGATTTAGTTGTAAATTGATATGCTACTACTCTAACTAATAATAATAATAATTAATAATTTTATTTTCTTTTTAGGGTATTATTGTTTTAATTCCGGCATTTATTATTGTTGGTTATGCGACTACACCATTTGTCTGCTACCTTGGTTTAACGCTATTTTCATTTGGTAAGTCAAGGGTAACCAATGGTATACAGTAATGGTAACCTTTCCGTTAGGCTTATTAGTTGTGAGGGCTACCTTCTCTCATGGATACTCACTGAGAGGGCTACTCTTTGAGAGGGCTACACTCTCTCATGGATACTCACTGAGAGGGCTACTCTTTGAGAGGGCTACCCTCTTTCGTGAGGGCTACTATTTTGTAATAATTAGTTTTTTTTAACTTAATTATTTAGTATGCTTTTACTGTAATTGTGAATATAACATTTACATAGAAATAACCTGCTTGCAAGGGTTGGTTATGAATAAATATATAATATAAACATTAAACCAGGTTAAAAGGGACACAATCCTGGTGTTAGAGGCAAATCCAGAGATGTCCTAAAGGGTGGCCGAAAGTGGGGCCAATCAAGATAACACTACCTAGTGGGGCCCCGCAGGCATGCCTTCGCAAATTTCTTGTTTTCTAGATGCCCGAAAATAAACTCTGAGGCATTGTGGGTGATCAATTATTTCTTTTTCTTTCTTTATTTCTTTTTTTTACACTTTCCAAAAAAGGGAAGGGTGCTGCAGCCAGCCCGGTGTATCCCCCTTTAAATCCGCCCCTGGTTGTTGCTGATTTTTGGTTTCGGGGTTTAAATTTAAATACTAAAAAGAGTCAACATGTGCATGAATATGTCTGGTCACTAAATACTAAAAACACCTGACAAACACCCAAAAATTATCTCTAAGACATTGACAAAACCCCTGACAAACATCCATAACAAGCCAAGACAATCATCCCAAAGACATCGACAAACATCCACCCCTGACACACTATACATTACTCTTTTAGTTTAGAGGGTTGAGCAGGTTGTTGAAAAAAATTTAAAGTGAGCATATACAAAATGTATTTCACAGTGGGTTGCAATATATGTTCATGTGCCTAAGCTGCTTTACCTCCAATCCCAGGGGCTTGAGTTCAAATCGACTTTATTCCATATGTGCAACTAGCATACAATAACAAGAGTATTGGATATTAAAAGTAATAATGGATATGACGGTAATCATTTTCTTTTTAGCTTCTGCAACAGTAGTACCTTGTCTAACAACTCTGGTTTCTACATTTGGTAAGTTCAAATTTTAAACACAATTCATAAACATTACAGTCCTTATTGCATGAAGACACATGTTCAATTTATATTCAATTCAGAGGATGATTTAAAAAGAAAGAGCAGATTCGTTGCCAGCAGGGGACACATGACCCCCCTTGAGAAACACTTAACCCCCTGTTGGGGAAGAAGTCAATTATATTTTCAGGGAAGACTGTTTTGAAAACACATTTTAATGTCTTTTAGTGCTCTTTTAGTGCTCTTTTCGCGCATCGAGAGGTGCCTATCTTAAAATTTGCTCCCACCATGTTGGGGCTGAGGACCTTTTGTCAGGGACATTTGATCGCTTGTTGTGGAATCTCTTGCATTGCTACTGGGATGCAGTGCTTTACCAGCATAAAATAAAAAGTGTTCCATAAAATTGAAGCATCTGAAAAATGTTATTTTAAATATTAAATTTCAGGTAAAGATGATCAGAAAGGAACTGTTTTAGGAATTTTCCGATCATTAGGAGCATTAGCCAGAGCTTTTGGACCAATAGTTGCATCATCAGGTGAGTCAAGTATTATTAATCATTTTCATCATTTAAAAGTTTCCAACACGATTATAAAATTTTGTTTTTGTGAAAATGAAAGCCTAATAAAATTAAGCCAATATTTATCACAACGTGGTCTATATTTACCATAACTGGTCTGTACTACTATTTTGTAGTTAGTTTGACGATGCTAGTATCTCTTGTGTCAGACTAAACTAAACTTATTCTTTTGCTTTAATTTAGTATACTGGAGTCTAGGTGCCACTACCTGCTACATCTTTGGTGGGGTGAGTCTTCTTCTACCGGTAATGATTCTACGAAGAGCCGACTCGGTGAAGACAGAATGAAACTACCTGTACTGCTTTATTTACCACTCAAGTTTTTACAAATGATTTTAGGATTCTTGACTTGAAACCTATCAAAGTAAACCCATTTTAAATAATAATAAAAATGTAGCAATTCTTTATCAACTCTGAAAAGTAACATATTTTTAATTAGAATAATAATAGTAATACAAGTATTAATAGTAATAATATTAATATTAGGGAGGTTTCGCACATGAACGCGTACAGTTAGTGTGACGGATACGTCATCACTTTGATGTCATACGCAGGCTGCTATCCGCTAACGTGTGGACGACACGCATATCTCGCTCACCACGCGTAAGTGAAAAATGCATAGGAAAATTTTGGATTTCTAGGATGATATTAAAACGTCAGTGCTTTGACCTTGGTGGTGTCGGGATTTTATGTAGGCCTAGGCCCAGGCCTGCTGGTAGCCAGGCACTTTTGGGTCATAAACAATAGGGCCTATCACAAAATAACCAACACTTCTGGTCAACAAAGGAAGTAACCTTACATATACTAATAAAACTTTGAGAAGCAAGATAAGAGAAGAGAACAGAATTATAGTACTAGGCCTAAGCTAGGTCCTAGGCCTAAGCTACGCTTGAATTGCGCTGTGATTGCAAAAAATACAGAATGGCTACGAACCATTGCGGATAGCTAAACGTATGCCTACACATATTCGTTCGCATGCGAAACCTCTCTAATATAATATTTAACATCTGAAAGTGCTTCCGAATATTTTCCTTGTTATTGAAAACAGTAAAACTCATGACAGTGTTCATAAATTTATGTAAGAATTTTTATTTTCTTAAACATTGATTAATTTCATAGAAAGTCATTCAGAAGAGCAAAAGATGTAATTATATATTTTTGCACAGCATATTTTTTCACTGATGAGTTTTTATATATATTTTATATTCTTTGTAGTTTTGTACACTTATATTTAGTATGTGTATTTCTGATAGATATTAATTGTAGCTATAATGATAGATTTGTGTTACCACCAATTTCAAATTGTTTTTTCTGATCAAAAGGAATGTAGAAAGAGTTATACTTCTTTCTTTCAGACTAAGAATAGAATGTCAAATGAATTCTATTCTTAATAACATTACAAAATAACTGATGTAAATTTGTGATTTTTTTTTATAATTGTATGTTACAGTAATTTATTTTGATTTAGAATGTTAATATTATTACTTAGCTTTGTTGTATACAGTACTGTCTGTGAGCATTTTTAGGCAATTTCTCAAGACTTAAGGGTGAAGTTGTTTTTAGTTGAGACAAAAAAGCCTCGTGTCAGTGGTGGCTCCAAAAATTTACCAATGAGGGTCCGACATGTCCGAAAGCGTGCCCCCCCTCCCCCACCACTGCTCGCATCACCACTCTACACTATTTTATAAACACAGGACTAAAAGGCACATTTGAACTGCCAAACTAGAGCTTCAATTTATGTTTTTGTATGTTCTGTTTGTTCGAAAACAAAATTTGAATGCAATATGGAGTATTTGCTTGTTACAGTTATTTAGTGTTGTGTATGTTGGGTGAATTTGTTGGTTTTGACAAAAAAACTTATGTTAAGCACTGGGCTGAGGCAGACACTGTCAGTGGGAGTGGGCTTCTTGACTGTCAATCAAATTTAACAACTGACCAATCAGAACAGCGCCAGGAACACGCGCTACCTCACAAACACACGTGTTGTCCCACAGACCCACGTGTTACGTATGTCACTGTCGTTTTGTGGGACAAACAATATCCAATGGGCGGGGCGGGGCGTATCAGAAAGGTCCACTAACCGCATACATACAGTTGTGAAGCCACCGCAACTGATTGTTTCTAAAATTGGGAGGAGGAAATTGAGATACAGATTAGAAACACTTATACGTGCACAGCCTCCACGCGCTTGCGCGATTGAAGAGTAATTCAATTGGTGCACTTGCGAATGCACTATCTTTAGGCTATCATAGTGGTGAGTTTCTCTTGAAAAAGTAACGGTTCAGACGTTGTTGAAGACGAATTTCAGTTTAGTTTATTTATTTGGATAAAGACATTTGTAGATGGAATGCTCCGTTTACACTTTCAGTCTACACATTCCTGATGATGACATAATTAATATCGAAATATTTAATCCCAACACGATGGCGTGTATTTTAATACTTGGAGTATGTATTATACTTTCTTTTCAGTGTAAGAAGTATGTGATATTTCTCATATATGACAATGATGTTAATATACTGTATTACACCCGCCATGTACTTACTATCAGATACCGAATTAATCTGTCAAATCACGGCTGAACACAATCCCAGGCACTGTACTGTGTTCCTAGCATGCTTGATACTGTAGACAGAGGTCGAGCGGCACTGTTAAAGTATATTAATAATACTGTATTCATATAGAACAAGGACATGTCAATAGTTGGGGCATAATCCAAGTAAAATGTAAGGTAGAACGGCTCAGACCCACCAAGGCCTCATCCTGTACTGAATTATCATTTCTCAAGAGGAAAATAGTGCCCTTGCCAATTCTTGTATACTTGGATGCGGGCCCTAAATCCTGATTTCACTCAAGGAGGTAAACCTATAAATAGGCCTACGCTATTTAAAGTCTTTCGGCCCTGCACACCTGTGCCATTGTTGGGCACAATATTGTACTATGGATGAAGCATTGTGCTTTAAAGCCAACATTTTCAATATAGGCCTACAGTATGTTGTAGGCCTAAAACTGATTTTTTTTTTCTAAGACACAAAAAGGGTGTTTGAGGCAAAATTCGGGAACGGTTAATGATATACAGCTTTTTGAACATTAGAAACTGTTGGGAAAAGGGGCGTAACCCCCTTTTTTGCGACTCCATGCAGTGGCGGATTCAAGTGTGCCCCCTCCCCCCCTGCAACCAATTTTTTTTTCAAAATTCTGAAATCAAATGGAGAACAAAAGAAAATTATATTCAAATTCAAGTCTAGAATGCCGTTGCTTGCCATCTAGATGTGCCATGATCATAAATTTTCGGAATCCAACCATAGTAGGGCTGAGGTGGTATAGCCCCTCCATTTGTGTAAGTCCTCCCTGGGCCACATTATATCAATTCATGGACTCACCACTGCCATGGTCGCAAATGCCAAATTAAAGACCTGCTAAGCTCATGAATATTCAATTATAAAAACAGATTACGTAGATAGGCCCAACCTTCACATTCACAACATCTTCACGTCAGCGGTATTTATTAATTAATTTCAGTTTGCAATATTGATAATTAATAAGGGCATCATATAATCTAATCTTTAATTTCTATGTTTGTCTTTTAATATAAACAGTTATAGATACAGTTAATTAACAGGTGTTTAATATGACGCAAATTTCCATGACACTTGGCAGTCAACATATGGTTAGTGGTTTTTACCGTTAAGTAAAAACACAAATATAAACTAAAAACAAATAATGAAGGTTAATTCATTCATATTATGCTGGATATTAATTTATATTTGATTATGATCAGCCCGTAGTACTGTACTTTTTTAACAATAAATACTGTATTTCACCATACGATTACTGTTCCTGTTATAATGCTTATGGTATTTTATCGAATCTATAAAAACCTGAAATTTGAAAGAGAAAGTGAAATATACCGTCTAAGCTAAATCTGGAAGAAACCTCTCAAAAATTTAATTGGTGGACGCTGAGAGTAGCACAGGCACGGACTACTAGTTCTACACACAACGCTCAATGAGCATCTTGTTTGATGAAAAGAACATGAATGAATAAATGAATGGATGGATGAATGAATGAATTAATGCATGAATGAATTAATGATTGAATGAATGAATGAATAAAAGGGTCTACGAAAAGATACAGCAATAGTATGCCTATTACTTATTTGTTCGTTGGCAGGATCTTTCTTATTGCAATTTTTTAATTGAAAGCTAATAACTTACTTCAATTCCTTCAAGAAATATTTTACTACAATTCAATTTAACATTTATTTGACCATTTGTAAACAAACAAGGAAATCTAATGAGATAAATCATATAAAAGTTATTAATACATCATTGACTGGTCAAGGGACGACGTAGGAGCTCTTGGGGGCGGCATTGTCGGCCATCTTCACTAAAATAAAACTAACAGAAAGTAACTTTATCCTTCATCCTTCGTATAAATATACACAATTACATCTACTATGATTATTGACAAACAATTAAATTATAGTACATTTATGAATATACCAGGCGCAGATCGAGTAGGTACGTGCCCCGCCCCACCCCACCCCCGTTTTGCCACTAAATCTTAAATTTCAATGCATAGGCCTATCAATGCCCGGTGTGCTCTCATTTATCTATTCTGAAACTGCTGTGCCCCCCCCCCCCCCCCCCCCCCCTTTTTGGATCCGCCCCTGTACAAAGAAAGCAGTTCAAAAGGTATTAAAGTTTAAAGGTTTTTAGCTCATCTCATCATCACAAAGAGACACGTTTAAGTAAATTAATTGGAGAACTCTAACGCATCTCCTTAAAGTATTTTTGTGTATTTAAATAGGTTAGTGACCGGTGGATTGCATTCTAACATGCATATAAATATCCAAAAGATACCAGTATTTGATCATTTTAAGACCGTAATTGAATGATAACGAAAATTAACCATTAAGACAATACAGGGTTCCATTATAAGACGGATACGTTCTTTATCAATATCTTTATCACACACCTGGTCAAATAAGTATCAGTTTTGCTGTTGATGGTCAAATACATATTTGACCAATCAACAAAATATTTATCGCCAGTCTTCTATAAAAGTCTCCAATTTCGAAGACCACTACATTTGCTTTTTCTGAAGAGCAGACGTAGCAAACAATGATGCGTGCGTTTATTGTACTCGTCCTCGCCACTGTGGCATGCGCTAAGCTAGCACCACTGCAATCACACGGAGCAGACAGCATCCCCGGAAAGTACATCGTTGGACTAAAGGTATTGTAATTCCCGAACTCAATTCTTCTAGTTCTACCACTGAATAACAGTATATGTCAAACTTACACAGTTTTTAAAAAACTTTTCTATTCAATAAGCTTATGTAGACTACCAGAATCGCTTACTTCATCTACCGCATTACCATGTTTACTAACGATCATTTATTTAGGGTAAATATGACTTGAGTGGCATCCCAGAAGAGTTCTTGTCCAAGGTCATCAGGAAGTTCAGAAACATAAAGGCATTCGTTGCGAATCTTGACGAGAATGCACTGCAGAAGGTATGCATTAGACAGAACAATTACTCACTCGCAATCTCAAGTTCTGTTAGGCTTTTAAAACCTTCTGATATTTTATTTTATACCATACCTACCATCATTACCAGATCGTAATGTCTTGGTGTTATATACTTCTTATCGTCTGATTTTTTTAATTCCTGCCAATGTGATATACTTCTATCAAAATTGTATTCCATCAAATGCGACACGAATATTATTATTGCAACTTTTTAATTATATTATTTAGGCCCTTTTAATGTATTTTACTAAAACACATTACTCGGGACGAATACATATACAGGAAAAGATGTTTTACAATATTTATAACAATAGTAATCTGTTTTAGATCCGTCAACTCGACATTGTTGACTATGTTGAGGAAGACAGCATTGTCAGAACTCAGGCCGTCACCTGGGGCCTGGACCGTGTAGATCAAAGAAACCTGCCACTGGACGGTGGCTTCTCTGTTAGTGGTAAGTTCCTGCCAAACCGACAGAAAATCTATATTAAATATGGCCAAAATATCTTTAAAATGTTAATTTATTTATTCAATATCGTGTGGTCACTGTCCCCATATCGTGTGTTTATCGTGTCAATATTTCTCTGAAGGTACTGGATCAGGTGCCCACATCTACGTCATCGACACCGGCATCAATCCATCCCACAATGACTTTGGTGGACGTGCTTCCATTGCATATGACGCCACCAGAAATGGTGATGTAAGTTTACCTTTTTTAAGGATCAAACTGAAATGTAGATTAAAGTTTTACACACAGAAACCAGTAAAGAATAAGTCGGAAGATCTTGAAAATAAATATTTTGTACTCTTACAGGGTGCTGACTGCAACGGACATGGAACCCATTGCGCTGGAACCACTGCCAGCAACACATGGGGTGTTGCCAAAGGCGCCAATATCTACGGAGTACGTGTCCTTGGTTGTCTTGGAGCTGGGAGCAGCTCTGACATTATAGAGGGTATGATCAGGTTTATTATTACCATTATCATTATATTATTATCATTACTCATTATAGTACTATAATAAATTTATTCGTCATAATCACATGGGCCGAAACCGATGTGACACCTTACCATATTAATTGGTGACAAGGCAAGCGACACAGTGGTGACGGTCTTGCGCAGGGCACCGTGTAGTGCGAACTCCATCGGAGTCGAACTCATACGACCCCTTTGGAAGCTCTGCTGCGCCACATGTTTTAACGTACAGTACTTCTTTCACTTCAGGTATAGACTGGGTTGCCTCTAATGCAAAAACCCCTTGCGTCGCATCCATGTCTCTTGGTGGTGGTGCGTCCACATCTACAGATAACGCTGTTGCAAGATTGGCCGGTAAATGCGTAGTGTCGGTTGCCGCTGGAAACAGTGACGCTGATGCATGTAACTACTCGCCAGCAAGAAGCAGTGATGTGAGTAATAAAATGACATATAGACTCGAGATTGACACTAAACGTTTAGATAATAAATAAAGACAATTAGGAGGAAGTAATTTATATATATATATATATATATATATATATATATATATATATATATAAATCAAGGTAGCCGTTAACACTGTTAAATCATATA